CCAAGTATCAAAGCATTTAGGCTTGTAGTTTTCAAGAAGAAGTCGAAAAAGTAAAACATTGACACGGACGACGACGGACAATCACTCATATGATAAGCTCCGCTCGACAAAGTCGACAGCGGAGCTAAAAAAAGAACTCAAAATAGCATCTTTTTACCAAAAATGACAAAAATATTAACATATACAAAACTGCTCTTGTGGGCATTACCTTGAATTTGGAATACTCTCTTGAATTGAATCGATTCATTCCACTGAAACCTTGACAAGGAGGTCCACCACATAGTAACTCAACTTGACCTTTCTGAGGCAATTTCTGTCCAACTGAATTGGTTGTTTCACCCTGTGAATAATACCATTATTGTAACAATATTCTTCAGGATTGATGCAGGTCAATTATGAAAACTGAAGTGAATAATGAAGTAATACAATGTTTTCTTCTTTGATAACTTGACCATGTAATTGATCTCATCACTACTACTCCACCTCCCTATTAACATTTCACATGAAACCAAAACATACAAATGAAGGATATAGATTATTTTTTTCTGCTTGTCGGAAAAATAACGAAGCATAACTAAAAGATACTTGCATCCATGACTAATCTTAGTAGCGTATTGCAATCATCTGTAAACACAGTGCACCCAGGATTGTTGAGACGAAATGCTTGTGCAGCTGGTTCTTCCTTCTCTATAGCCCAGGTACTTTCAGCAACTCCAGATTGGTGGAATCCTTCAGAGAGTCCTGTAAGAGGGCAACAAATCCAGCTTCAGAAAAAGTTTTATCTGGAGGGAAAGTCAATGTTTGTTCACTAGTTGATGCAATGTATCATTGCTACTTCAAACAACTGTTTTATATAACGAGACTTTCTGGTAGTTCCTCTGATGCTTGTAAATTAACATCCAGTGAGGATAATGTTTTTTCATAATTTCCTCAATGTTGTCTTGTGTGTAAGGTCTCAGTTATGTTTCATCACACTTTTGTCTTGCACAACAAGTATAGGTATTTGTTGTTTGATCCAAGTATCAGCATGCATTTAAAGATTTAGTGCGGTCATTAACCCTCATTTCAACAGCTCCATGTACATATAATTTTAACATTGACTTGACCACAATGGTGAGCATTCAACTCAACTATACTTTCCAAGTGATATACGGGTAACATGAACAATTCAAAATATAGACTACATAAATTGCTATCCTAAAAAAATACTTCTCAAAGTGACCATTAGTACATGTAAATCAGTCATCTATGGAGCTTGTGTTGTAATACACTGCAGAATATCAATTTTATAACAGATTATTAAATATTACAGGTACACAAAAGAACAATTTACATATCACTCATGTTTCTAAATAGCAGTTATGATGATTGGACAAGTCATTATTATTCAGCAGTGTTTTGCCCAATGAAACAACACTAGGTCAACCGTCACCTACCGCCACATCCTGCGAAAACATCAAGTGATCGTAACTTTCTGTACTGGAAATTATCCTTCACAGCAGCAACCTGCTTTACCTCAATTACTGGTGTCGAAGACTTTCCTTTTCCTTTCCCTTTACCCTGGGTGTTAATGGGAGAGAAGCAAATACAATATTAAAGATGGATACAAGATGTTACTGTTTTTTCACTGGATTTTCCTGAAATTTTGTCAAATATAATACAGTATGTAATATTTGTTTGTTTGTTTTGAGCCTCATTCTAGATTTCAATAATCTTCCTCCGAATAAAAATGGTCAAACAGGAGTATGAAACATTTTTGCAGTCTCAGTCAAGAAGTATGTTAAGTCTTAATTAATGAAGTTCTTCAAAAAATGATCAACTGTAATTTCTGAGATGCACATTAGTAACATGAATACAAGTTCACAACATATTAGTGTCCCATGATGATATGGTAGTCAAGATTTTCATTTCCAAGCATTATAAAGTATTGTAATTCTTTACCTTTCCCTTTATAGTCCTGGCTCTGCTAGGGGGCTCTTCAAATTCCTTTGATTTACTACAGTATGCCTGGTAAACAAATATAATTAGTAAAATCAAAGGAAAAAAATCACAGTGGTAGAAATGCTCTATTTGTAAGCCTTTTTCACAAAACACAGGGCCACAATTCTGAAATCTTGAATCAGATCATGAAACAGACTTAACAAGTGTAATCATTATTACATCACTACACTTACCTCCAAAAAGTAGAATCTATCCCGGCCTTTTCTTGTGTATTCTTGAACAGACTCATTTAATTCTTCCTCAAACATAACTGTACATTTACCTTGGATGTCATAAGCAGCAATCTCAGCTTCTACATGCAACAAGTAGAGTGTCATGCAACTCAAAATCAAAAACTTTCAGGGATGAATATGTGTAACCGTTCAATTATTATCTATTTAGTTAATTACAACACATTCATATTTTGCATGTTGCTGAAGATGATTAAAATCTATTACAAAATTCAATATGATTTTTATGACAGATTTATCATAATATTTGGAATTTCATTACTCCAGTAAATAAGGTTGACATGTTTTTCATACCTTCATCACTCCAGTAAAGTAGATTGAGATCAGATGTGTAGCTTGCTGTCACTCCTTTATGGGTGTTTTCTGGTCTGTAAAATTTTACTACTTTTAGCTTTATCTCCTCCACCAACTTGTTAGGACTTTTCTTTGTAAAGATCTTGATAATTCTGCCAATTCTGAATGGTTCTGGGCATTCAATGTTGCTGCCTTTAACATATTCTGATGTCTTGCGATAATACTCTGGGTATACCTCTTCATCCTATGTGACAATGATGTAATATTTAGCATTTCTCAATATTGCATATGACTATGGTATTGCATCTCAGACTAGATATATGTAGGTAACAACTCTTATATACAAAACATGCAGTCATTCTATGACTGGACTATGGATGAGATAATAGCCCTGGCAATGGGACAATTGTGTTTCACATGTGTGCATAATAAGGATGCTGATGCACCTTCTGCTGTTATTAAATATGCCGAACAATTTGTACATGCAAGTGTGTATAAATAAAAGATATTGACTGTTAAACAAGATTATCACAAATTTACAACCATTAGTATACACAAACAGCTATGAAATTACAGCAAACACCACTGTACCATATGTCAGTCAGTTGATAATACTGCTAAAACGCATACAATAAATTAAAGATGGCTGTGGATGAATGCAAAATCTTAATTCCTTTAGATCTTAATGTTACATTTGGTACTGCAGATATTGATATTTTACTGTAAAATGTTGTTTGGGTATCACTGGTGTGGTTCATTCATGGTTTAGATCGTACATCTCCGCATTGAGCAATATAATCTTTTATAAGATCTTTATACTGATGATGCACATTTCTACATGATGTTTGAACGAATTTCTATGAATGGCCAGGATAATTTGGCAATTACATTCATGACATTAAGTCATGGATGTATATAAATAAATTCAATAAAATATAACTAAATACTGACAAAATAAAACTTATATTAATCGGAAAGCCATAGCAATTAAACAAAAATAGAATATGTAAACATTGATGGTATATTGGTTTCTGTAAGTGTCATGTTTGACAAGATTCTGACGTGCCAAAATGCATTAGTTGTTTCCGACTTAATATGTGCATTTTTTTTTTTTTGGCTTTTGTAATTATTTTATTCAGTCGCAATGTGCTCTTGATCAGGTTTGCACAATACAAGTAACTAGATTATTAAATTATTATTACACTCTTTTCAGGTATGTTGTAATATACATATAACTATTTCATAGATACTCAGCACAATTTCTAGTAATTTATTTCCACTAAGACTAAACACATACATGTAAAATATATGGTAACACCCACCACATTCTCTTTGCGTGATACTTTGGATGGAGGTGGAGCTGGCTTCACATTGAAGTAAAATGAACCAGGCAATAAATAGCAACTATCACCAACTCTGTAATCCAATCCACCTTTACTAAGTACACTAAAATAAATGCACATTAAGTTAATGAAGTATTGCTGGAATAGGTGGCCATTGTAAATAAACTAAAAAAAATTGATTGTAGTAATACATCGGTGTTGGGAGAACACGTTAATTTCAGCACATCACATCTGAAGACATTTTGTAAATACATATTAGACATTTATTGTAAAGCACTATGCATACAAACCTATAATAAACCACTTTGGGGTTCTGTTTGTCCTCCTCAAGCTTTTCTGACACGTGTGGAGTTTCATTCTGTAAAACAATTTTGAATTATTAGTTTTTTACTGTAGTTGTCCAGGTTTTGATACAATAACAAATTTGAGGTCATGTCTGGGCATATGCCCATGAGGTTTTTTCTACACTTGTGAAAAAAAATAATAAAAAAAGTCATTAGAACTGCACATTGTTCTGTTCCTCACACTTCAAAACTGTCATAGTATTTCATAGTTACAAAAAACTATGACCACCGGTAAAAGATGACAATTGTTTAAATTCACTAGCTTGCCTGTGAAGAAGAAACTGCCTTTATAACCAACTATTTCTGAAAAGTAACCACTCTCAGCATATATATGCAACATTCGCAACTGCAAGAATTAAGAATTCTGCATTGTAAACTACATATATTCATTTTTCATACCTTTCTAATTTGTTCCATTCTCTGACAACTATCACAATATCGATGACTAGGCATATCATCAGGTCTCTGTGTCACAGGTATATCTTCAAAGCGTGCACAATCTGGGTCATACCACTTCTGGTAGTAGAATGTGTTGCCATCATCATCAGTGATGAAATTCTCAACCTCCTCACCACCTAACATGCTCCAATTTTCTGGCGGTGCTTTATACATAATCTATCGCAGGCAATAAGCAATTAAATTGATTATGACACAATGATCAGACTCTTCACAAGTACACAAGTAAGATAATTGTATAAACTGGATAATGTTTAAACTGACCTCTAAAAATAGATAACTCTAAGCAATTAGTTCTCAGTACTTTTATATTATGAAGAAAATTATGCACATAACTCGCAATACATCTCAACTGACCTTGCTCTTTCCCATCACATATTCCAGCGCAGTATCTTCACATTCGTCAACTGCGAAAACTTCTAATGGATCTGCCATTTCGCCTAATACAGTGTCAACACCACGACTGAAAAGAGTAGATTATGCAAAATAAAAGCATAGTTAGTAATTGATAGCAAATAAATGACTTGTCTAGTATCAATAGATACTATTGTATTTAACGACTCTTCCAAAATTGAAATATATGGTCAGATATGCTATTCATGCATTTTTGAATCCAAACTGAATTTCTTTGTCCAGGCTAATGTACAGA